CGTGCAGCCGAGCAGGTGAAGCAGCTGCTGGGCAAGCTCTCCGAGCGAGACGAGGCGCTGGCCGAGACGCGGCGGGCGCTGCAACACCTGCTCATGGCCGGCGCGGGCGGCTCCCGAGGAGGCCGCTCCCGGGGCGGCGCCGAGGCGGCTCCCGGCGGCGACGCCGGGGCCTGCGAGGACAGGGCGGTCGCCGCCGCGGCGGAGCCGCCAGAGGCCGCCAGAGCCGCGGCCGCCGCGGCCCGCCCAGGCCGCGCGCGGCAGGCGCGGGGCGGGGCCGCGCCGCCATGCGGCGCGGCGGCGCCGCCGAGCGCCCAGGCCGAGGCCGCCGAGGCTCCGGTGCTCAGCGGCAGCTCCTCCGTCGACGCCAACGCGGCCGCGCGGGAGCGCGCCGAGATCGTGTCGCAGCTGGAGCGCCACCTGACGCAGATGAGGACCCACCTCGAGGGCAGCGAGAAGGAGGCCCGTGAGCTCGAGGGCCGCGTGCGCGCCAAGGAGGCCGAGTGGAACGGCAACTCCAAGGCCAGCCAGCCCACGGAGGTGGTCCGCGCGCACTGGCAGGCGCTGCACGACCTGCGGCAGCAGGCCCAGGAGAAGCGCGGCTTCGCGATGGACCTTTGCCAGAAGACGCGGAGGCTGGAGGAGCCTTGTGAGGCTTCGAGTTGCGCGCAGACAGCCCCCCCAGATAGTCCTGGCTGGCCTCAGCATGCCGCCCGAGTAGTGCGGTGCCAGTCCGGGGCGGTCTCAACACTAATCGGGAGGTCTCTTGAGGCCAGCCGGGACTACCCGGGGGGAGCTGTCTGCGGGCCGCCCGAAGCCTTACCACAGGAGCAGATCTCCGCGCAGAGGGAGCTCATCCTCGACGACGCGTTTTGCTCAGTCGGGGTGGAGCGGGGCCAGGAGTCGGAGGGCAGCGTCCATGAGAACGACGAGCACCTCCAGCGCCAGAAGGCCCTCCGCGCCTTCCTCGACGCCGCGGGCGCCGCCGGCGAAGCGCTGCGGGCGCGCCCGGCGCTGCGCGCCGCGCTGAAGGCGCGGCCTCCGAGGCTCACCGGCGAGGCGGCGGAGCAGTGCAGGCCCGAGGAGCGGACGCAGATGCTCAGCCTGTTCGCCGCCTGGGCGGCCGTCTCCGGCGACTCCCCCTGCGCCCTGCACGTCAGCGACCTGATGCTGGCGGCGGCGGACGCCGACGAGCTGCGGGCGTCCCTCGCGACGTGCGGGGCGCAGCTGCAGGAGTGGCACATGGCCCGCTGCCCCGCCGAGAGCGAGGCCGCGACGCGCGCGCTCTGCGCCGGGCTGGCCACGCAGCCGCTGCGCCGGCTGAGCCTCGGCTACAACTGCCTCGGCGTCGCCGGCTCGCTGGCGCTGGCCAACGTGTGCGGCGCCTGGTCGGCCTCGCTGGAGTACCTCGGCCTCGAGATGAACGGCCTCGGGGACCAGGGCTGCGAGGAGGTGGCCCGGGCCCTGGAGCGCGGGAGCCTGCCCCAGCTCCGGCATCTGGAGCTGGGCTGGAACGAGCTGTCGGCCTCCAGCGTTAAGTCGGGCATGTCCCTCGACGGGAGGGAGAGGTTCAATTAGCCTGGCGAAGGACCCAACCACATGCAGTTGAGAGTACCGCAATTGTGAATATTTTCTTCGGTGGAGCTCCCTATGGGGCCACGAAACGTGTGAGGGGTGTGCCGAAATGGGTGTGCGGGACGCATGCGGACGGCAGCACTGGGGCCTTCGGTGGAGCTCCCTGTGGGGCCACGAAACGTGTGAGGGGTGTGCCGAAATGGGTGTGCGGGACGCATGCGGACGGCAGCCATGGGGCCTTCGGTGGAGCTCCCTATGGGGCCACGAAACGTGTGAGGGGTGTGCCGAAATGGGTGTGCGGGACGCATGCGGACGGCAGCACTGGGGCCTTCGGTGGAGCTCCCTGTGGGGCCACGAAACGTGTGAGGGGTGTGCCGAAATGGGTGTGCGGGACGCATGCGGACGGCAGCCATGGGGCCTTCGGTGGAGCTCCCTATGGGGCCACGAAACGTGTGAGGGGTGTGCCGAAATGGGTGTGCGGGACGCATGCGGACGGCAGCACTGGGGCCTTCGGTGGAGCTCCCTGTGGGGCCACGAAACGTGTGAGGGGTGTGCCGAAATGGGTGTGCGGGACGCATGCGGACGGCAGCACTGGGGCCTTCGGTGGAGCTCCCTGTGGGGCCACGAAACGTGTGAGGGGTGTGCCGAAATGGGTGTGCGGGACGCATGCGGACGGCAGCCATGGGGCCTTCGGTGGAGCTCCCTATGGGGCCACGAAACGTGTGAGGGGTGTGCCGAAATGGGTGTGCGGGACGCATGCGGACGGCAGCACTGGGGCCTTCGGTGGAGCTCCCTGTGGGGCCACGAAACGTGTGAGGGGTGTGCCGAAATGGGTGTGCGGGACGCATGCGGACGGCAGCTGGAGCTCCCTGGGGCCACGAAACGTGTGAGGGGTGTGCCGAAATGGGTGTGCGGGACGCATGCGGACGGCAGCCATGGGGCCTTCGGTGGAGCTCCCTATGGGGCCACGAAACGTGTGAGGGGTGTGCCGAAATGGGTGTGCGGGACGCATGCGGACGGCAGCACTGGGGCCTTCGGTGGAGCTCCCTGTGGGGCCACGAAACGTGTGAGGGGTGTGCCGAAATGGGTGTGCGGGACGCATGCGGACGGCAGCCATGGGGCCTTCGGTGGAGCTCCCTATGGGGCCACGAAACGTGTGAGGGGTGTGCCGAAATGGGTGTGCGGGACGCATGCGGACGGCAGCACTGGGGCCTTCGGTGGAGCTCCCTGTGGGGCCACGAAACGTGTGAGGGGTGTGCCGAAATGGGTGTGCGGGACGCATGCGGACGGCAGCCATGGGGCCTTCGGTGGAGCTCCCTATGGGGCCACGAAACGTGTGAGGGGTGTGCCGAAATGGGTGTGCGGGACGCATGCGGACGGCAGCACTGGGGCCTTCGGTGGAGCTCCCTATGGGGCCACGAAACGTGTGAGGGGTGTGCCGAAATGGGTGTGCGGGACGCATGCGGACGGCAGCACTGGGGCCTTCGGTGGAGCTCCCTGTGGGGCCACGAAACGTGTGAGGGGTGTGCCGAAATGGGTGTGCGGGACGCATGCGGACGGCAGCCATGGGGCCTTCGGTGGAGCTCCCTATGGGGCCACGAAACGTGTGAGGGGTGTGCCGAAATGGGTGTGCGGGACGCATGCGGACGGCAGCCATGGGGCCTTCGGTGGAGCTCCCTATGGGGCTACGAAACGTGTGAGAGGTGTGCCGAGAGCAAAGGCAAGGAGGAGGAGGAGGGGGGAGGAGGAGGAAGGAGGAAGGAGACGCGGGGCACCGTCTCTTCAAAACGAGGACCCAACACCACAGGATGGTTGGGAAAAACAGTGAACAGATATTCGGGGGACGATATTCCGAGTATTTTGGGCTCCTTCTGCTTCCTCTAGAGAGTATTTTCGAGTCTTCCTCCAAACTCCACCTGTAGGAGGACCTGCCCGACCTAACTCCAGCGCGCCGACGCTCGCGTCGCTGCTGACCTGCCCCGGCGAGGGCGAAGCCCTGGCGGCGGCGGCCGAGGAGCACACCGGGCGCGGTCCACTACTCGCAAAGTGCCCACTCGCAAGCTTCTCGAAAAGAAGCGTGCTCGCCTCGATGTGATGGGTCGTGCATCCTTCAGGAGGGGAAAAAAACACACAGACACAATTAATCGCCGATCCCCAGGAAAATATGGGAAAACAATGATGGGAAGTGGGGGGGAAGACAAAAACCCTGAAAATATGGGAAAATATGGGGAGTCATTTTATTTGTGTGTATTTATTCGTGTGTCCTGGGGCCCCTTGCATCCTCCTCGGCGGAGCCAGGCCATGTGCGAGCAGCTGCGTTGCGAGTATAGTGGGGCGCGCTCGTCGAGAGGAGCAGCAGCCCCCGGCGCCGCGGCTGGAGAAGCTCGGCCTGGCGGGCAACAACCTGGGCTCCGGCGGGGCCATGGCGCTGGCGCTCGCGGCCCTGTCGGCTCCGGAGCGCAGGCGCCAGGGCTCCTGTTGAGTCGGGTCGGAGGTGGATAGACCTCCTACCCTGACACGTCGACTAAGGAATTGGCCGTTTTCGGTTCGCGAGAGGGCGTCGCGGCCGTCATTTTTGCGGGTCCAGGTCCGTCGGTTTCGGTCCCAGGCCGTTCTCACTAATGGGAGATGTACTAAAGGGAGGTTTGTCCACCGCCGATCGGGCCTGTCCCTCCACAGGAGGAATACGGTGGGAGCGTTGGTTAAGGAGCGTGCCCTGGAGGCTTCAGACCCTGGAGGACTCCTTCTCTGATGAGGGCGGCGGTGATGTCCATGGCCACGCTTCGATTGGAGTCCCACCAGCCTCCAGACCCTGGATTCCTTATCTAAGGGTTCCGTACCCAATGCCCCCACCGCATTCCAAAATAGTAAAAAATAGTCTGGGGACGATGTTCCGATTTTTTGGGTGTTATCTTTTACAATTATTGGGGTATTTCTGATTTTCCGTCCAAAATCTGCCTGTAAGGGACATGCCCGACCTAAGGTTCATTTCGATTCCTCTGGTTCGATGCGATACGGTTCGATTTCGATCCAGACATGATCGCGTCTTAAAACATCAGGACGGGAAGTTTTTGCCAGTGTTCGGCCTCGGGAGGCCCTCTCTGAGCCTCGGGACTGTCAGAAAACGGCTCAGAACGAAAAGCCGGTCCCAGGGAAAGGGTTGGGACTTCCAGGGACCCCGTATTGAAAGAAACAGGACGTCGCATGTCTGGGGATGGATTCCGAGTCCGATTCGCTTCGACATCGGGTTCAAATGTGGGATCCGATGTCTCAATGGAGGCCTACTGGTTGCCGATGTCTACCGGTTCGACTTTTCCCGACTCGGCTGCCGACTTCCGCCGATCCGATTCACTTCGATCGCCGATTCGACTGATCGACTCGATTCTGGGCTCTCCTGGCAGGCTGGACCTGGACCTCTCCATGAACCACGTGGAGTCGGGGCCGCTGCACGTGCTGACGGAGTGGGTCGAGGCGTGCGACTGTGCGTCCGTCGGCGTCTCGCTGGGCCTGGAGCTGGGGGAACGAACAATGACATAAACATACAAACTCGCAGGTCCGCGCGGATTTCTCGGATCGGCGCTGGGGCCCCCTGGCGCGCTCCGCGCGCCAGGGAGGGGGGTCCAGCGCCGATCCGAGAAATCCGCGCGGTCCTTCGAGTTTTTATGTTCTAAGCTGCTCGAGGCGAAAAGTTTTTATGCCCCAGCGCCTTATTTTGCTCTGGGGCATAAGAACTGATATGGCTGCTGGTGTTCCCTCGCTCCCCACCTCCCTTTCCGCCGCAGCCGGACTTGACGCAGCAGCGCTTTCTGTCCCAGCCCCGGCTGCGGCGACGCAAGGGGCAGGACGACGACGACGACGCCGACGCCGACGACGACGACGACGACGAAGTCGAGGGCGAGGACGAGGACGACGGCCACGACCAAGCAGACTAGCCAGACGACACAGTCAGACCGGCCAGGTAGACCAACCACACCAGCAAGGTAGAGCAGTAAGACCAACCAGACCAGCCAGCCGTTCGGACCAGCGAAGCACAGACCAGACTAAGCAGACCAACCTGCCTGGACCAAGCAGACTAGTCAGACCAGCGAGCTCAACTATAGTCAGGCAGACCAACCAGACCAGGCAGACCAGCTAGCCGTTCAGACCAGCGAAACCCAGACCAGACTAAGCCGACCAACCTGGCCAGACCAAGCAGACCAACCTGGCCGGACGAACCAGGCCAGACTTGGCCAGTCAGACCAGCCAGTCAGATCGGCCAGGTAGACCAACCAGACCAGATTAAGTCTTAAGTTGGAGCTTAAGCTCCAAGCTTGAAGCTTGCTCTGTTGAAGCTTGGCGTCCCGCCGTGCGCTAGTCTGGTTGGTCTGGCTGGTCTGATTGGTCTGTGTCGTGGTGGGGCATAGGAAGAACGCCTGGCGGCGTCAATGCGCGGCCGCCCTTCTCCTCAGACGGCGGCAATGGGCCTCCTATCTTCCTCCTCGTCGTCCTCATCTTCATCCTCTTCCTCTCCTTTTCCTTCCCTTATCTTTCTACTTTTCCTTTGTTCCCTCTGGGAGCCAGACTTGCTCTTTGTAAGCTTGGCGTCCCGCCGTGCACTACACGGGCGCCCCTGATCCCCTCTGATTCCGCCGTCCTGTATTTCAGTTTGCCCACAAGGCCCGCTGTGCCCGCCGTCCTGTATTTCAGATCGCACCCGAGGCCCGCTGTGTCCGCCGTCCTGTATTTCAGTTCGCTCATGAGCAAGAGTAGCCATACCAACCAGACTAGACCAGACCAACCATACCAAACCAACGAACGAGGCCAGACCAACCAGACCATACCTAAGCTAAGGCTGCAAGACGAAGCTCAAACCAGACCAACCAGACCAGCCAGACCAGATGCAAAAAAGACTGCAATGCAAAAAATAGTGCAAAGCAAAACATACGCAATGCAAACGCATTTCGATCGTCGTGGTGGTTGGCGCTGCCTCGCCGGACCTCCCTTACAAACCACTCTCGCCCGGATCCTGAGCTAAAGCTGCAAGACGAAGCTCAATCCAGACCAACCAGACCAGCCAGACCAGATGCAACAAAAAACTGCCATGCAAGAAATAATTACCTGCAACGCACAAAAATCTGCAATGCACAACAAACTGCATTTCTGTCGTCGCCGTGGTGGTTCGCGCTGCCTCGCCGGATCCCCCTAAACCACTCTCGCCCGGATCCTGAGTTAAAGCTGCAAGACGAAGCTCAAACCAGACCAACCAGACCAGCCAGACCAGATGCAAACAACTTAAGCTAAGGCTGCAAGACCAAGCTCAAACCAGACCAGCCAGACCAGATGTAAAAAACACTGCAATGCAAAAACAACAACTGCAAAGCAACAAAAACTGCAATGCAACAAAACATGTTAGTCGTGGTGGTGGTTGGCGCTGTCTCGCCGGACCTCCCTTACAAACCACTCTCGCCCGGATCCTGAGCTAAGGCTGCAAGACGAAGCTCAAACCAGACCAACCAGACCAGCCAGACCAGATGCCCCAAAAAGTGCAATGCAAAATCAACTGCAAAACACAAAAATCTGCAATGCAAAACAAACTGCATTTCTGTCGTAGTGGTGGCGGGCGCTGCCTCGCCGGACCTCCCCCGAACCGCTCTCGCCCGGGTCCCAAGCTGAGGCTGCACGACGAAGCTCGAACCAGACCAACCCGACCAGCCGGACCAGAGCTAGACCTGCTCTTGGTGAGCCAGGCGTGGCGCCGTGCGCTACACGGCTCAGAACTTTCTGCACGTCATTGGCCGTCCCCCGAGGAGTGGAACATCGTCGACGACCCCGCCGCCGTGGAGCGCCTCGCCGCCGCCTGCAGCGGCCTGGCCTCGCGCCTCGGCGGGGCGGCGTGCCCGGGTGCCCCGCGGGCCCCCTTCGTGCGGCTGGCGAACAACGAGCTGCCGGGGCTGGACGCGGGGGCCGTCGTGGAGGACTCCCGCGGCCTCGTCGCCATGTGAGCTGCTCGGGCCCGCCGCGGGGGACGGGGCATCTCGGCGCGGCAGCTCGGCGCGGCCGTGGCGTGTGAGCTCTGACGGGCCTGGGCGGCGTCGGGGAGCAAGAAGAGCGGCGACGCGAGCGTGGAAGCTCGGAGGGCCGCGCAAGCTTCTCGGGTCTACGCTGGAGCCCCCTCCCTGGCGCGCGGAGCGCGCCGTGGGCGGCGCCGGAGGCGCCGCCGGGGGGGTCCAGCTCCGACCCGAGGACTGTGCGCGGGCCTCCGAGCTGTTGTGCTCATGTCGCTGCTTTTGCTCCCCGGTGGCGGTGGGCCTCCGCCGCGGCGATGGCGGGGACTCGGCTCCGCGTGCCGGGTGGCAGGCGGCCCCGTCTCCCGTCCGCGCGCGGGGCTCCCGGTGCTGCGCACGCCGGAGCTGCCGTTTCGCTCCCGCCTGCGCGACCAGCACGGCCCACCGCCGCGAGCCGCGGGCGACAGCGCGCGCTTCGAGGGCTCCCGCAGTTTGCGGTCTGACGCGGGGAGGAGTCTACGGGGCCCAAGCATATGCACCACCACCACCTCCCTCGCCCCCCCCCTTTCCCAGGAAAGAGGGAAGGACGAGGAGGGAGGAGGAGGGAGGAGGGACAGAGGTGGTGGTGGTGGTGGGACCCGCAGAAGCTGCGCTCTGAGCCGAGAGAACTCTCAGGACTGCGCGCCGCTGCTGACCTGCTCTGGCCGCACCCCACGCTGCTGCAGGTGCACTGTAGTCGAAGAAGAAAAACGCCATAAGCATAAACTTTTGGCGCTCCGCGCGGATTTCTTGGATCCGCGCTGGGCCCCGCGGCGGCGCTTCCGGCGCCGCCCCTGGCGCGCTCCGCGCGCCAGGGAAGGGGGTCCAGCGCGGATCCAAGAAATCCGCGCGGAGCGCCAACAGTTTATGTTTGTGGCGTTTTTGTTATTCTTCTATTTAGGTTCGCAGCTGATGTCGTTGCCAAAGAGTTTGAAGATTGGCACGCTTCTTCAGCTAGAAGGGGATGTTCGACAGCAGCCAAGGTGCGCCTCTGTGCGGGCCAGGCCGTCCACCACCCAGGCACTCCTTCGCGCATGCTTCAAGGTTGCTTGATCCTCAGCCGGACCGAGGTATAAGATCGAGGTCCGTTCGGGGAGGGTACTATATTGCTCTGTGTGTTTGTTTTCAAGTGGGGTATGTCCCTCTAGAGGAGGGATTTTCAAGAATAGTAAGCAGACAGTCTGGTTGCGATTCGTTGTATTTGTTGTGTGATTATGTTTGATGATTGCTTTATGTGTTTGTATTTCCTTCAAGTACACCTGTAGGAGGACATGTCCGACCTACTGTTTGTTGGATGTTCTTGTACATCCTGGGGAGGGTACCCGTGGATGCTCCGTGTGGTTTGGCCGACGGAGGGTCTCGTGCTCTTGAGGGATGTTCTTCTGGCCCGGGTCCGACTGTACACCCCCTGCCTGCACGGCCTCTTCTCGGTGTTGGATTTGCGAGGGGGTGCGATATGGGCGGGAGGAGCACGAGGAGGGGGAGGCCTCGATTCTCCGACCCGGCAGCTCTCCGAGGCGCCAAAGCTTGTGGCTGCCCCCATGCTTTTTGGGGCCCAGGGGCGCCCACCCGGCACACCCCGAGAGCCGCGAGAGCGCTCGGGCACTCTCTCTGCGCGGGAGTCCGGACCCCTGGCGCTCACAAGCGGGCGACGCAAAAGAACGGGGTCGTCTTCGCCGACGTTGGTGCGTAAGGTGTCCGCGTAAAGTCGCGCGTAAGCGCCCTCGTCTCCAATGTGGCGTGCCACGATGGCGGCCCGCGTAAGCCGCCGCGTAAGATCGCTGTGCCATCTCGAGCAAGACCCGTTTTTGATCGTCGCTCAAGTGCATCAGCCTTGAAGCTTTCCACTCGCTACGGCTCTCAATGCACGGCGGCGGACCTGTAGCACCGGATTTCAAATCTGCGTGTGCCAAGAAAGCGTGTGGTCGTGTCGCGACGTGTTATTGGCTCCAGGTTCGCACGCATATATACATACAGGATGCAATATTTCTTACGTAAGTATGCAGGCATGTACCTAAATTTGGATGTATATATGCATATACATGTCTATAGATATGATGATCATAGATGTACATGTATAGATGTATGTATGTATGTAAGACCTGCAGCTCTCTGCGCTTCATTGGTAGGGGTATTGGTATCATGCGTGGCGTGCGGGATACGGGTTAGGGGCGCACGGTCGCGCGCGTGCGGCGCACGCCCTTGCGGCGTGGGGGGAATGAGGGGTCCACATTTGTCGTGGGCATTCCTGGGGAACACATGACAGTGGGCGTGACCCGCGTGGGCCCCAGGGCGGAGGGAACGGTACGCCGCGCCTGCCAGCACGGCGTGATGTCTTGGGTGTGCGACGCGGGTAGGGTTCGGTCGGGCACGTCCTCCTACAGGCGGATTCTGGAAATAATATACAAAATAGTAAAACAAAATCCCAAAGTAGTCAAACAATATCAGGAAATCGTCCCCATATTATTCCCCACATGCTTAGTGGGGTTATGGCTTTCTTCCTTCCCGCGTCGCGCCCGCGTCTCCTCCTCACCCCTCCTCCTCCTCCTTCTCCTTCTCACACAGCGCAGCACAGCGCAGTGCAGCACAGTACAGAACAGCTCAGCACAGCACAGCACACAGCACATTGACACACAGCGCGTATGCAGCACAGCACAGCACAGCAATGCTCAGTACAGCTCAGCGCAGTTTAGCACAGCACAGCACAGCTCATCTCAGCACAGCACAGCTCACCCTTGAAACTCACTCACCTCCCTTGCGGGCTCGCAAAGCGTAGCAGGCGTGGCATATTCTCGACACCATAAGGGGTGCGCAGGTGGTGGTCTCTGAGCGCGGCCGCTATCCGAGCCGGTCGTCCAGGACGTAGCAGGCGTGGCACTTTCTCGACACCATAAAATGGTGCGTAGGGGGTGGTCTCTGAGCGCGGCCGCTATCCGAGCCGGTCGTCCAGTGCATAGCAGGCGTGGCATATTCTCGACGCCACAGGGGGTGCGCAGGGGGTGGCCTCTGAGCGCGGCCGCTATCCGAGCCGGTCGTCCAGGACGTAGCAGGCGTGGCATATTCTCGACACCATAAGGGTGCGTAGGGGGTGGTCTCTGAGCGCGGCCGCTATCCGAGCCGGTCGTCCAGGACGTAGCAGGCATGGCATATTCTCGACGCCGTAGGGGGAGCGCAGGGGGTGGTCTCTGAGCGCGGCCGCTATCCGAGCCGGTCGTCCAGGGCATAGCAGGCGTGACATATTCTCGACGCCATAGGGGGTGCCCAGGGGGTGGTTTCTGAGCGCGGCCGCTGTCCGAGCCGGTCGTCCAGGGCGTAGCAGGCGTTGCATATTCTCGACGCCATAGGGGTTGCGCAGGGGGTGGCTTCTGAGCGCGGCCGCTGTCCGAGCCGGTCGTCCAGGGCGTAGCAGGCGTGGCATTTTCTCGTAACCTTAGTGGATCATCTCCACTCTCCTCCCTCCTCTCCTCTTGACTGGCGTCACCAACGGTATCGGCGGGGAAACGGCCACCAACATCATTCTCACATGCTTCAGCTATCATCACTCCAGTCATGATAGAAGTATGTGGGGGTCCTCGGTTGCGTAATTTTTGGAGTATTCTTGAATATTCCTCCTGTGGAGGGACATGCCCGACGTAAGGGTAGGGTGGCGAAGGTCACGAATGGACGCAGGTGGCACTTGTCCTTGGACAGCCCATCCCATTGTGCAAGTGTCCCAGCAGAGGACCGTCCCATTGCCATGCCGCGGGGCGTGCTTGATAGACCGCCCGACCTCGCCAGGCGAGAGCCTCTTGTCCGCGGGGTAGGTCCAGGCGGGTCGCTGTCGGTGACGCACGCGTCGGGGTCCCCCATGAACGTCTCGGCCTCCATAGCCTCCTCCAACATCGGGAGCCACCACTCCTGAGCCAGCTTCGCGACCTGGTCCACGGGTGGGTATGACTTGTTCTCCGCCTTCAGATAAGCCGCTGCGGTGTTCAAGAATACGCACCGTTCTCTTCCAGCTCTCCCTACTTACAATCCTAGAGGCACTCCGTTAGGCTTTAGGCCCTCCGTCACTGGTAGTTGCTCTTGATAGTCCTTGATATCCCACACGCGGCCCTTGATGTGAACCTTACCCCAGCCTGGGGCTTCAGGGCCGCCCCCCACATAGTCGCACTGACATGAACCTCCGGACCAACCAGGTCACCACCCGTTCTCTCCACCCTCTGTGAGAAAAGGCCGAGCCAGGTTAGCCAACTCCTCATCTGCGAGCTCGACGGCGTCCTGCGATATCAATCGACCAGGAGGCTCCTGATAGGCTCCCTTCCAGCCGCCGCACAACCGGGGACTCGCGGACGCCACCACCTGACCTTCCTGGGAGGCCTTGATCTCCCGCGCGATCCGCAGGCATTTCCTCGCAATCGTGGGTACGTCGTCTGGTATGTTCGGCGGGCAGACAGTTTTGTCGCTTTCGCCATCGTCTGGAACCCTGAATTTGGGCCCTGCACGAGCTGCTGCAATTCCGTCTCCTGAGCGGAGGAGGCTGAGGCGGAGGAGGACGAGGGAGACGGGGAAGGGGGGGAATGAGGAGGAGGAGGAGGAGGACAAGGAAGAAGAGGAGGAGGATGAGCAGGAGGAGGGGGAGGAGGAGGAGAAGGAGGAGGAGGAGGAGGAGGAGGAGGAGGAGGAGGAGGAGGAGGAGGAGGAGAACGAGGACGAGGACGAGGACGAGGACGACGGAGGATGGGCAAGGAGGATGGCGCACCCTGCTCGCACTGGCCCTGGAGGCCCTGCGGGACGACTGGGCCAGCTTCCAGCAGGGCGTGGAGGCCAGCCTGCAGAGACAGGCCCAGTTGCAGGCTCCCGCGCCCCCCCCCCTTGCCCCCCCTCGGCCTCCGAGGCGAGAGGGCGAGGACGAGAGGAGGGGGA